ACTTAATCTTTTTCTGGATAAGTTTATTATATTGGAGTTAATTGTTTTTATTTTTTTTTTTTCTTTTGGTCTTTTTCCTTTTTATCGGTACCGCGGATCGAACTCACGACTGCCTGCTTCCAAGGCAGGCGCTTATGCCACTGAGCTAAACCTCCAGTCCCTGGAGTTAATTCTTGAGAACAGATTCTGTCTGTTCCTTCAATGCTCTGGAGCACTAATATGTGATATTTGGTTGACACATTTGTTAACTGTGAAATCCTGACATTCAGGAAGGGAAAGTTATCACTAGAAAAGCAAAGGCACAGAATGATTAACTTTATTGTCCCCTTTTCTGACTGTCACCACACGTCACCCTCTGCTTAGAGAGTGTGCTCACTGTTGTGTCTCAGGTCTCATGGCCCTTCTGCTGTAAAAACCTCCATGCTGCTCTTCCAGATAGATAAATGTCAGTGATATAGGCTATCCCTGAATCCCTCAAGAGCAGTACATACAGTCACTTTTCTTAATATTATGTTTACAGATAATGTATTTGGTATCTGGGATTACCCTTACTCTTTTAAAAAATTCCTAGGTATTTAAATTTTTGGTTATCTTTATCCAGAACTATAATAGAAGTTTTCACACAGACTAGATGTTCAATCATCTAAAGTGAAAATATGAATATTACAAATATTAGGGAATAAGATTCTTAGAAGTGTGTCACACTAAAAATATATTGTAGAAAAATAATATGTCACTAGAAATTCTGAAAATGTCATATATCCATTAGATGGGGCTTTTAAAATTCTTGTAATAATTGTAGAGATTCTACTTCACCTTTACAAAATGGAAAAATCATCAAAATTTGCCAGTACAAATGCCATACTATTATAAAGTATATAAAAATAACTTGAATTGATTTTCTGGTTTCTTGTGAAAACATAAAGATTTAAGATTTGAATGTATGATACAGTCTGCCTACAACAACTTAGCTTCTTTTGAAAATTTATGTATAACTTACAGATTCTCAAGAAGGCTCATAGATTTTTCAAAGAATTAGATAATAAACTTTGCGCCGTTCTTTTGTAGTTAGCTAGCATCATTAAATTTTGCCTAAAGTATTAAGAATCCAACAATTTTACATCATAAAATTTATGGACAAATTTTCACTTTATATGTACACAAAACAATGGTAAAGTATTTTTTAAATTAAGTTTTTGGTACAATTTAGACATACTTAATTATCATATTCAATATAAGAAATTTGTAATCACGGACATGACATATCTTGATTCTTCTTTGTTTACAGTTCTCTTTCTCTCCCTTTAACCCCCATCATCCTCCTTATTTACAACGATTTCCTTCCATTTTATCTTATCTGTTTTCCCTTCATTCCTTTCTTCCTCCATCCACTCTAGTTCTGCTTACCTATGTAACAATTCCTTCTTTTTTCACAATATCTATTATACATTCTGGAACTCACTTATACTTTCAGTTTCTCACACTGGAGACAAATGCGATTTTTGTAGACGTGTGTCCAATTTATTACACTTAAGAATAAGGCCACAAGGTCAATCCATTTAGCTGTATATATCTCAAGCTTATCTTTTATGGTATTTCTTTGTATAAAGCATTCACATCTTTTTTGCCAATTCATTGATCGAGGGGTATTTGAGTTGTTTTCAGAATTTATCTATTACAAACTATGTTGCTATAAACATGGAAGCACATATATTTCAATCTTTGTAGAAGATACCACATAGGGAAACAGTTGATTTCAATGAATCCTCTAGTTTTAGTTTTTGAGGGATCTCCACATTGATTTTTACAGTAGTTGCATCAGTCTACACTCCCAACAACAGTAGAGCAGGCTCCTTTTTCTCTACAGCCCCATCAGCATTTGTTGTTGGTTTATTTCTTGATAGTAGCTATTCCTTCTGGAGTGAGACAGAATCACAAGCTTGTTTAGATTTGCATCTCTCGAATAACCAGTGATGTTGAACATATTTTTGTATATTTCTTTGCTGTTTGGAATTCTCCTGTGAGTGTATATTCATTGTAGATACTCATAGTATGATTTGATCTTTGAATTTAATAAGTGTAATTTTTTCAATTCTTTATATGTTCTAGTCATTAGTCTTTTGTTTGAAGGAGAACTGATGAAAAGTGAAGGAGAACTGATGAAAATAATTTCCAATTCTGCTGGTTATCTTTTCACTCAGTGATTTCTTTGCCAAACAAAAACATCAATATAATGCAATCCTAGTTGTAGTATTAGCATGCAGTTAAGGTTATATTCATGAAATTTTTGGCTATATCTACTTCTTTAAAATCTATGTCTCTTTTCTCTTCCACCAGATTTAGTGTTTCTATTTTAATATTTAGATCTTTTGATTATGACTTAGTGCATGATGATAAATATAGGTCTAGTTTTAGTCTTTGGCATGTGAAAAGCCAATCTGAATTTGTTTCTGCATCTTATAATTTTCTATTTTTTATTTTATTCTGCTTTTTGTATTGACATTTATAAATTTCTTATAATAGATAGCTTTATGCCTAGGATTGAGGGCTTCCTAGGAAATGTCTTTTTCTCAAAGATATCGTCCAGGTACTAGCAGTTCTTAGGTTTTGTGTCTTTCTCAAGAGCCCTCCTTCTCAACTTATTTAAGATGAGATGCTTCTGCGTATTTGGCTCAGTGTCCATTACTTTGGTACTGGACTCTGCTGATGGTCAGGACCCTAGAAGATAACTCTAAAGAAAAGGAGATCAACTGATATGATTTCCCCACATCAAACACATCTTAGAACCTGACAAACTGTGTTAACTATTAATTTGGTATTTTAAAACCATAGGGGAAAGATCTACAGTTATACAACAAAATCAAACAAAATTCAGAAATTTTTGCACAAAGGGTTTACCCCTGGTAGAACAATTTACCTTGTAGTGGTGCAAATTTAAGGTAGATAGAGTACAAAACAGAGAGATAAATGAAGACAAATCTAGTAGAGGCAAAACTTGGGTACAAAGAATGATCATGCAAGTCTTGGGAAACTAGAGAAGAGGGAAGGAAAGAAACAAAAAGGAGTGGGCAAAAGATGAAGGGAAACATAACGACTAAAAGCAATGTTCCCTCACAGAAAAAATATCATAAAATCAGGAGATACAGTTGAAGAAAAAGAGAAAGAAGATGAGTACCACAAACATACATGTAAAAGCTGAAACAACCAGAGAGACAGGGAAAGAGAGAGAGTCAGAGACAGAGACAGAGAAAGGGAGGAAAAGATAAATAAAAGAAAATGAAACAAACAAAAACAAATTTCTCTGCTGCCCACTGTCATGTGGTAGTATCCAAGTTAGATAGCCCAAATATTCTGGGTAAATCTACAAAAACTGCAATAGGATTAGTGATCTGGGCCTCTGAATGTGGATGCCTGGGACAGTCTTCAGCCAGTAACTTCCTGTGTGACTGCTGGCCTACCTACCCCTTACCCTTTTCATCTCTGTATCTCTCCTGGTCGCTGTGGTACCATGAGAGACAGCCTGAGGCTGTGCCTAATACTGTGTATATATGGCCCCTCTGTTAGCCTTCCACTGGCACATCTTTTTCTTCTCCCACCCGTTGTTACAGAGTAGAGTGGGGTGCTGTGTACTGACTCTCTGCTCCTGCCACTGCCATCAAACACAGCTTGGTCCCACTTTGATCTCCCCTCCTGTGGTGGGAATTCCAGCCTCTCACTTGTTGTTGTGCATCAGTGCAATCGTGTAATCTCTGCCACCTCTGTGGCCCCGAAAGTTGGTGTCCTTAGAGGCTGCAGTTAGCTGTTCTAGTGCATTACAAAAAAAGAAAAAAGGAAGGAAGGAAACAAAGAAGGATGGAGGAAGGAAAGAAAGAAGGAAGGACAGAAAGAGGAAAAAAAATAAAAAAATAAAATGAGATAAATAGAGTGAAAGAAAAAGAAAGAAAAAAGGAGAAAGAAGGAAGGAAGGAAGAAAGAAGGGAGGAAAGGAGGGAAAGGGAGGGTAGGAGGGGGAAAAGAAGAAACAAATGGCTTACTAGGGAGGAACAAGTTCACTGGCTCCTGTGTGCGCTGCGGAGTTTGCTGCTGGAGTGAAGCACACTCTGTTTGAAGGAAGGCAAAACTGACAGGGCGCCTTGTATCTCAAGTCTATCCTGTGTGCCTTGAGTTAGACACAATACTTGAGTCTTTCTGTTTTTTACATTCCTTTTGTTTTCTTCTTTTAAACTTCCTAGTATGGCTCTCTTATTCTGCTCATGATCAGACAACTCACCAGCAGCTCTCTATACTAGATTGATATTTTATTAAATCCTATGTTTGTGTTTAGTTTGATCTAAGTTTCTTATTTAGATTGATTTTGGCAACAGGAATTATGCCTTTTGTTTATCCCAATTATCTGTGTTTTTATTTAAATTTCTCTGAGTAATTCTAACATGGCTTCTCTTTTCAGCCAGGTTGAGTCCTAACTTGGTTAAGTATTAATGTATAAAAACTTACTTATATTCTGTGCAAATCTTTTATATGTTATATACACAATAGTTATTTAAGCCATTAATATATTTCTCCATCATTAATGTTCTCATTTTCTAACAATAGTTTTAATAAGTGTTCTGAAGCATCCCTGCTATAAAAGTAAAACTATACATGAAAGCATAGAATTTTAAAAATATCAAGACGGCCTTTTTATATTTGTGTGTTTATTTTTTATACAGTGTCTTCCACCTGCTTTTTCTGGGTATTTCCTCATAAAAGCAATGTCATACATCCCGTTCTTTAGAATTTGGTACTCAGAAAGACCTCCAATCTTTGTTCAGTGTAGTTAGACATGGATGTTTCTGTTTATCCCAAGACTTACAGTGTTAAATAATGTATTATGTACTTATGCATCATATACAGCAAAGTAAATATGTAAACATTAACATATAGATACAAAATGTTCAAAGACAGAACAGAAATCCAAAGTACTTGCTGGAAGGAAATTATCCATCACTGAAAAATGACTTTTAGCATCTGAATTTTAACCACCTGATGATTCGTTTTTCAGTGCTTATTAGCACAAAAGGACAGATTGTGGCATAGCCATTGCCCAAAAGCATCTGAATTAAATGCTTAATTGGATCATTTTTCCACAATACTCCAGAGGAAAAGAAGGACACACAGTCCAAAAAGTACATGATCATAAAGAACCCCATAAGCAGCAGAATGGTTCGGGTGGCCCTTCCTTCTGGGGTCACTTTTGAAGAAAAGCTGGTGCTGTGAAGATGCTGGAATTGCTTCTTATGCCTGCACAACAGGCTCACCATGTATCCACTTGAGAGAGCCATAAGCCCTATAAAGGAGATATCTTGAATGTTCACCAATGAGAAAAATATGTACCTGAACAAATAATTAATGGGCCACTGAGAGCAGGATTCAGAGACAAACACAAGATTGTGTGAGGTCACATTGGGGGTGGCACCAATGGAGACTAAGAAACGACCATTCAGGAGCATATTGAAGACCCATATGAAGATAAGGCAACATGGGTAGTGATGTATAGATTTATGTTTGAATTTTGCCATGTAAGAGTTTCTGGGACTGAGAGTGACAGCCTGGATGATGCTCATGACACAAGTATTGCAGATAGAAAGGCCCCTCATTAACCTATATACATAGATAACTGATTTACATGGGAAGTCACTCCCCCAGTCACGAACCCCAAAAGTGTCTGTAGCTATAATGCCCACAGTTACCAGCATTACCAGGTGAATTAGAGCCAACTGACCGATAGTCAGGTCAAGAGGTGTGGGCCTTTGCTTGAAGAGAAATATGAGGATGTGGAACAGTAGCAGGACAGTGTTGGCTATGATTCCAATTGTGACTTCAAAGAAAACTGTGTTTTCTATTTGAGGAAAAATGGAAAATTTTCTCCTTGTTTTCATCATCTTGGAATAAGAACATAAATTTCTGAGGAGAAAAGCAAAAAAAAAAGGTCACTGTCATCAATCGCAACCAACGTTATGCTTTCATAATGGGGGGTTCTTCCCCATGCATCCTGTTGCCTCTTCAGAGCTAAAATCCACCTCAGCTTCCTGGAGGCACCATTGCTCTCTTTCTTCTAACCACCATTCCCAGTGGATTCTCGATTAGGAGGCTCACAGCACCTCTGTGAGAAAAGTTTCCCAGATTTTGGAAGGTATATATTTATTTTTCCTCTCAAGTTTTAGCTTTAAAAATCACATGCATTGATTTTTGTATTTGCCATCATAGCTCTAAAAAGTACAGACAGTGCTATGTATGTAAAAAGAACTCTATATTTTCTGTTAAAGTTGGTAGAGAAGAATTTCCTATATCAAGAAATAAGATTTATACAACTAGTTATTCTTCTTGGGAGATGCATACACAGTTAGGTTATTTCAGTGACATTTTTATTCTGGTTTACTGGCAGTCCAAATATTCATAGAGAAAAAATATTCTCATATGCTTGCGTTTTGATTAATAGGTTTCAACTCTGCTAAGCCAACAGGTGACACCAATTTAACCATATGAAATGACACTTAAAATGACTTGGAAAAAACAATTAATACTTCTGAGCTACAGTTTTATGATCTATATAATATGAATTACTATATTTACTTCATAGAGATATAATGTATTCAAATGTACTAGCCATGAAAGGAGCATGGTATAGGAATGAATACTGGTTATTATTATTACATAGTTCTTCATACAGACAACCTTAGTGAACTGATACAGTTTATAAAATATTTCAACACAGTTTTAGCCTAAAAGAGCAAGGTGAACTGAATACGAAAATACTGCACTCTTAACAATATCAATTTATGAGACAGGTGAAATTAAATAGACCTTTGGAAACACCCAAGACATTTTATGCATTTTAGAAGTTGGTGTCATAAAAACCTAATCTAAATCATCAGATTGCAGTTATAATTTTTATTAGGACCACAGATTCCAGATTTCTTTTGCACTCTAACACAGGCAGATGGAGTGAGAATGTTAAATATAATGATGACTTCCTTTGTTTTAATGAAATGAACATCAAGCATTTTAGTTTTCCCCATGAGTCTAAACTTAGACACCTTCCTCAAACAAACAAAAAACCAATCAAACCATCAAACAAACTAAAAAAAGATATTCAAAGGGTTATAGGTCAATTGTAAATTTTATACTGTGGAATTTGGTGATAATCAACTTTCAAGTAATCTCTGTATGTTATTCAGCTATTTGTTTTAAGTCAAAGTTATGAAATGAGGGTCTTAGTATAAAGCTACAATATGAGGGTCATAGCAGCACAGCTACAGATACATATTTATTCATATTTTCCATCACAGCATTAAGACTACACTTTCAGACCTACTTAGAACACATGCTACTAAGTGACCGAGAGGAGTCTGAACTATTTAGGCACCACGAACTAATAATCACACTGAAAAATTCATAGGTAGGTGAGAGCTTGTTTTCAATAGGGTAAAAATTGGCTTTTAAAGTAGAAATGGCATAGTGAGAATTAAACAATTTTAGTCTTTTTCTCAAAGTATTCATAAAGGAAAGTAAGGCAATTTTCTTTAGTCACACAGTCAAAAAATGAAGGATTGCTCCTTTCGTACTCAGGAGAAACATCAAAAAATATATATCTCATTTCCTAGTTTCTCTGATGCTTGAGGATTGTCTTCTGACACTTTTCAATGAACTTCCTAGCATTTTGTGTACTTAAATGACAGACACCTATTTACTATACATCTATTTCATACCAGTTACAAAGGAAGTCCTCATAATATTTTAAAGAAATAACATTAAACTAGCACATAGAAACATTTGATGATATATATGTTAAAATAATTAAAGCATTAACAAATAATTGAAATATAAATCAAAACTTGTCTTCTCATGTTCTTTATGTAAAATTCAGACTTTAACTTTATTTTTTAAAATCGGATCTAGGAAAACACCTTTAAAACTGGCCGTGTAGCATGTATAAATCATCTTCAAATTAGACTACACTGAAACACACTGAAATATCTTTATCCAGAGAAATGTATTTATCTGTAGATGTCATACAGTAGTATATACAGCTAAATCTGTACTATAATTTTATTAGGAAATATATTATTGAGACCATGAAAACGTGAACACCAGCTAAAAGAAAAGATTCATCATTCCCAGCCATGCCTCATCCACACAGAGCTGCCAGGCTCATTATAGTGAGGGAAACAGAGGGCACTACAGCAGCCCCTTCCATCTGCAGGGTGATCTAGGAGACACTCCCCAAATACAGGTGTTGGGAGACGCAGTGCTGTTACTCCTGTAACTTATGAATCAAATTCACTAGTGTCGACACCAGTACTGTCCTTGTATATGATTTAAAGTAATAAGGAAAATAGGGCCTGTGAGCTGATACTCTCCATGATCAGGAGAGGAGGTTAGTTTGTGGGAATGCTACATCTTTTGGCATAATTCAAGCTGGAAACCTATAAAGAGAAAGAGGGTAAAAGAGCATAAATAGGGAAAGTAAAATCCTCACAAGTCAAATAGGTAGCCGCAGCTCATGGCACACCTTTTGTGAAGTACACAGCCCCAGGAAAAGGAGTAAGAAAACACGAGTACCTGGATGACAGATATGTAATTTTTAAAAATACTGTAAACATTACCTTTCTGTCAATTTAAGAGATGCTTATGTACACATCTGGGTGCTCATTTATTCTTAGGTATTAATAGCATTCATATGTTTATGTCTAATTTCAGGAAAATCAAGAAAAGGTAGTTACTACTCCAAAGTAAAGAAACTTAAAAATCCCAGAGGCACCCTGTCCCCAACACAAACCTCTCAACCCACACAAATTCACATAACCATGGGTCAAGATCTCCAATCAGCTCCATAGAAAAGGGATGTAAATCTTACATTCGTGAAGAACATTGATTTGATGCATTTACCCATGTGTCTTTAAATTATATTAATGAAAAGGTGAATAATTAACATATATCCAGTGATGTAAATAAAACTCAGTGAGAGTGAATAGAACACAAAACAAAATCCCAGGAACCAGGATGGATAAAAATATTTAGATTTAATTTTTTCCCAAATTTAAAGGGGTTCCAGCATATCAATCATCTTGCTATGTATCTCAGGCCAGCTGTGAACTCAGTATGTAGGCTTCAAACTCATAGTGATCCTGCTGTCTCAGCTTCCCAAGTACTAGAATAATAGGCATGTACCACCATGCACCTCTAGAAATAATTTTAAAATGAAGAAAATTAGAGAAAATATGCATAAGTCATATTAATTTCCCTCAATAAATTCTGTGTATTATATTCTAAGACCTTTGCTAGAAACACAGGAAAAATTTTCATGTTAAAAATCTTTTACTTTTTGTGTAATTGCAATCCAATTTTCATTTTTACCTGATATAAAATGTTGTAAGAAGTAGAAACCATGTTTAAATACTAACACCGTGAGTGTGAAATTTGTGAAATCAACATTGGAATCCACAAGCTCTTTATGAGGAATTACATTTATTTTGTAAGGAGTTTAACGTCTTTTTTAGAGCCAATATTTAAACAAAGAATTTAACTGCATACTAAGTAAAAGTTTAAATAACCCAAGGTACAGAAGTCACTTTTTCAAAAATTTCTAATCTGTTTATAGAGATGAGAAGAGAGAAACTGAGTCTGTGTAATAAAAACCCATTGTAGAAGTTCATCTCTTTCACAAGGGTTGTTAATATAAATATAAAACTTCAAACTAAAACAAAAATATCTTCCTTGAGAAATAACAAATAAGTGATGAACCTTTAGTTTCCAACAATGGATACTTGCCTGAAATTAATTTAGTATTTCCTAACAAAGAATATGCTAGTTTTATGAGTCACTAAATTAAAGGCTGGTGGCTACAAAATCTGATTCTACAGAAACCATATTACAAATCACACTGACCTCTTGTATTCTGCCTAGGACCTTGCTTGCCCACAGACTCTGCATCTGGGAACAAAAAGCCACTTGCCCAAGAAGACATGTGGGGATCCAGTGCTCCTGAGAAGACTCTCGCACAGCCTTAAGAAAAGTGACAAGATCCCTCTGGGGTGGACAGAATTATTGTTAAGTGTTTCTCTGTGGAAAATTTGTGTCGGGAATCCATGTCTGGGATTGTACTGTACTCTTTCTTGAATAACAGCTCTGTGGGGACAGCTTTTCTCAAACTTTCCTCCAAGTTGCTTTGACATATCTTCATGAGGGATTAGGAAGGGCACATCATTAGACATCACCATGTTCACTGCTTCTGATACAAAATGTAGATTAGGTCAAATCCATTGTGAATTAGAACAAATCTATTGCAAACTCCTGAATGAGAAATTTCTGACACCTCTCAAGTGTTCTCAGTAGTTGTAAGGGACTGCACCCTATTATCTATGATAGGTGTACTCCTCTGGTCTATTAGACATAGAGCATTAAGGTTTTTGTGTATTACTAATATGTACTGTGTGTGTTCCAAGTTTTCCAAACCTTAGCTTCAGGTTTCAAGCTGTGAGTCAAAGTTCAATGTGAAATTTAAGTTAAATTTTAAAAAATGGAACAGTAGAATCACAAAAGGTGGTTGTGAGTTCAGGTAATCACAGGCAGAGGAATAAAAGTGAAGTTGAAACACAACCAACATTGGACTCCATGATATAAAGACTCTAAATGTTCAACCCTCATGCTTACCAGTGGAGCTAAGAAGAGGCTTATGCTTTCTCAGCATTAAGAAATACAGTAATCTATATAGAATTACACACAGAACTATAAGACATGTAATGAAAATGAACACTATATGTAGAGTCAAAGGCAAATACATTCTTTTAGCTAGATGAGCAGATATCCCTGGGACAAGAATTAGAAACAAGTAGGTCAAAACAACTACTGTCAATATACAAAAAGCTTAATGCAGATATAA